CCCCCACCCACCCCAAAAAAAAAGGAACATTGAAAATTCAGCACCACAAGACTCTCTAGGTAGAGGACCCTTATGCAAGTTGAAATCCCAAATAGTCCAACCCAAGAAGCAACCCCTCATGCTCTGAAATTTCATCCACAACATAATTGCAAATAGGGCTACATAATTAGTATTACATCCAGTAGGTCATCACCAAGGAAAAACCTTTAAATTAATCAAAATAGCATAACACCGCTAAACCTAAAAAGGAAGCGAAACAGTAGCCAAGAAGCCACCGGCCAAGATCACCCATGAGAATGGAGCCATTCAAAGCACATGCACCATAACAAAGAAAAAGGTTACAGCCAAACATTAAAAGGCTGAACAAAATATTTGCTTGCCCTTTCAGTGACTGATTTGGACACGTTTATAATATCCCTTATTCAAAGAGTTCAATACTTTTGCAGAAAAGAGGAATAGAGACTAGAGCGTATTTTTTCAGTATTTGCTTTCCAATTTAATTTAAGTGATACCAACAGAATACTTATCTAACAAAGGCAGCATGATCTGACCGTCACTAGAGTTAACCAGACATAATCAAGAGAAAATTGAATCGGAGAGACAAGAAAGAGAAGGGACATGAAGAAACAAGATAAGCAGTTGGAAAGTCCAGATTGAAATTTATATGATCGAAGAAACCAGAAAACTATTAATTAAAAAAAAAAAAAAAAAAAAAAAGCTAAGAAGCAGAAAAAAAAGAAAATAAAAAAGCTAAGAAGACACCAAAAAAGAGAATGAAACTTCCAGTTGCTCGCTGGAGAACGGAAGCAATTGCAAATTTAACCGAGACAGAATTAAATTTGTTCTGATACCATGTTAGAATATTATAATTTGTGTATGATAAACTTGTGTCACTATTACAAAGTAGAAGACCCTATTTGTCGGGCTACAAGTAACTCTAAAAGGAAGGATTGTGTGATCACACAATCAATTGTTAAGGAAAATAATCCCATAAAATTTGTGAAAATATAATGGAGAATAATCTTTCCATATCTTTCACAATTCCAACTTTTGAACTAAAAGATGCTGTTGAAATATTTGTTCAACTATTACACTTTCTGGTGATAATTGTTGGATTTTATATGAATACTTAAAGCCTCTCCAAGAGTGAGTCCAATAATGATATAGAGTTTGTGTACGAGTATCATAGGGGTGGTTTGTCCCAAATATGCTGTTTGTTCATTTATAAACCACTTTTATGAAGTTGGTGATGCATAAGAAGTGTCTCTAGAAGTTCCAGGATGGTCATGAATTATGTGATTGATTCATTATATATATTCTTTACCTCTTCTACAATAGGTTGTCTTCTACCCTGTAATTTCAGTGAGAAAGCTTTCTGTAATACCTGAAGGAATGTATTCACAGTGCTGAAAAGTCTGTCCATAGACTTTCCAATTGAGAACTGTGTGTCATCTGGATTCATTCATATGCATATGAAATGTTCTCTATTATTAGTGCAAGGATATGCGTCAGCATTTTGGAAGAGTGATCTTATGACTGTACAAGGTTAACCTGTTGTAGCTGAATAATTTGTAATAACACTTGCATTATTTTTCTAGTCCATTTCTTGTATTCTTGTCTTATCAGTATTCCTTGGAAAGTTGAGTTTACATACCAATCTTTTTGGTTTCTTACCTGGTCGTAATTTATTTTTCTGGATTACTTCGTTGATTATAGGTGAATAATAAAGTTGTACGCGAGGTCATAGAATTTATTAAAGGTCATCAGGTTCTTTTTGACCAAATTCTCCGAGTAGATATTTCTGATGCCAATGAATTGACATTGGAACAAATAAATCTCGTTGTTGGCATACTTGGCAAGGTACGGGTCTTCATACTTAAATTAGATATTGTATTGTGCATCTGACATACTAGTTTAGGCCCTGTGCACATAGATTATTGACGTGGTAACTCAGAAGACTCGTAGGATGACTAATGTTAATGTATTCTTGGATAATTGAAGATTAACATCAATCAACCTACTGGTTAAGGCATCAAATACAGCTTAAAATAATGGTCGTCTTATGCACATCAGACGAATTTTAATCCAATCAAATCCTGTTAATGGTTCTTTACTGACTGTAAAAGACTTAATGAAATTTACAAGGTTTGGCCGTATGAAGAGAGTGATGAATATGGTTTCGTTCAAGGGCTTTTTGGGATGATGCGTGCTCTTTTCTCCCGTGACCCTGATGTTTTCACTTCAATGCAATCTGTCCGATCAGAGGTAATTTATAGTCCACGATCCTATCTCACTCTAAATTACATGGATTGACTTGAAAAAAATCTAGATTTGTTACAAATTCTTGTCTTCCTTTCTTCACTTCATTGTCAACTTTCAGATTCAGAGGAAAGTTGAAGCAAACACATCCCGCCTCTGCTTTAACTTGAGTTCTTATCTTTATTTCCTTGTTACAAAAAAGTCATTAAGACTACAGGTAATTGGGTTGGTGTTGATGCAGCTCTTATTTGTTCAAACTTGCATATTTTTTAGCCAAACAAAAAATGATTAGATTCCTTTTCTTCCCAATATGATTCTGATAGGTATCAGATGGTCCTATCGACTATAGTGCTTCGGCTGGACAGCAGCAGCCGACTCTGACTTCGCTCAGTCACTTTCTTAGGACACTGGCAACTGCACTCGAAAGAGCTGCTGAGGAAAAATACATACTACTTAACAAGGTCCACAATTTGATTTCTTCATTTTCTTGATTGTGTCACCATTATACGATATTATTCCAGACTTCATTTATTATGTATATCTAGATTAAAGACATCAATGAGCTATCAAGACAAGAAGTTGATGAAATCATCAACATGTATATCACTCGAGAATATGTTTCATCATCAGAGAATACACAGAAAAGGTAATTTGATTTTCTCTCCTCCCTCTCTAAAATAGCTCTACCCTCCCTCTCTCATCAACTTGAGTGTAACTGAGTTTTTTGTAATCCTTTTGTTTGGGAAAGTTGTGATTCGCACATAAGTTTATCACACAAATCAGATTATTTTGAAACTCTGACTTGCATTTAGGACTTGATGGTATACGAACTGTGAATATTATTGGCCTGGACAGTGTGTGGAGGACTTGGGTACTCATAAAAATTGGTAGCTCAAAGTGTGTAAATGATAAAATAAGATATGCTATTTTAGCACCTGTTTGAGCCCCATTAATTTTCATTACATTACATTTCATTTTTCTCTCTTCTATTTTCAACCACACAATCTTCCATAAAATAATATTACATGTAAATCGAAAATTTTTCCTTCATTTTCAACCACTCATTTTTCAAAAAAATACTATTCCACCCATTAATTTTCCACGTAATGGGGGCCAAACGGGGGCTTACTTTATCTTATAGTTAATTTTTTTCGTTTCCTTTACAAAATACTTCCTGGGAAATTGTCTAATTGCAATGCAGTTATGTTTGCTCACGGCTAAAGTGATACTTCTGCAAGCTTTGTTGATGAAATGTTACTGTTTTCTTGGTAAAATTGTTCTTCCTGCAGGAGATATATTGCAATGGTGGAAATGTGCCAGATTGTTGGACACAGAAATCAGTTTATTACACTGTTGCTTCTAATTACACAAAATGTGATGAACATTATTCTCACACATTTCCAAGACAGGTATAATTCTTCGTGTTCTGCTCTTTGAAATCTTTAAAATTTATTTTTGTTAACTATTGATCACTTCTGCTTGTAGCTCTTATGCACGTGAGCACTATCATTCTTTGAAAGCAATTGGATATGGTGATGTGCATAAAGAGGACTTGCATTCGCTTTGCGAAGAACTGACTCCAGTTCTTGAAAGACTTGAGTTGCTGAGCGAGGTATGGTCATTTAATTCCAGTTCTTGAAAGACAAGAATATTTACTGTGGATGCTACCTTATTTTCTCTGATTATTTGCCTTCTTTTTTGCTCCTCGGCTTTTGAAGGCCTGAGAGTTTGTATTGTGTTCTTTTTTTTCCAGTCTGATATGGTTCGAATGACTTTTGCATTGGGGGTTTCTAGTGGGCACTTTCTTCAATTTTTCTTGTCAATTAAAAGCCCCTAGGAATCAACGCCCTTTTTTGATTCAAACAAATTGACAAAAATAGATATCTTCATTATGTTTGTTGTCTTTTCTCTGGGGCCGATTGCATTTTACTTTTATTAAAATGGAGTGGCAAAAAATGATTTACGTAAATTTAGAGAATATGGCTTGGCTGTACAGGTGGCAATGGGCCGAGCCGAGCCGAGCCCACGAGCTCCTTTTTTTTTTTTTTTTTTTTTTTTTTTTTCTGAAATTTTTCAAACTTTTGCTCACATTTTTTACGAGCTCGTGAACTTTTGGCTCGTGGGCCTTACCCATGAGCCGCTTGCGAGCTCAACGAGCCTAGCCTTGCTCGGCTCGTTGGATCCAACCCGTGCTCGGCTCATGACGAGCCCAAGCCGCTCGGCTTGTTTGACATCCCTACTTGGTTATATATGTGAGAGAAATTATCTTTATTAGATGTTTAATGGGCATTTAATCTTTTATAATAGAAGCTAGGGTTGTTTTGAATTATAAATAATGAACGCATTTGTTTATCTTACAGGATAAAATGGGACAGGACCTTAAAGTGTTCTGCAGATTAGCACATTCTCTCAAGGAAATGTCATTTCAGATTTTAGCTACTTGAAGAGCCAGAAAAATCCCCTTTGGCTAATCTTTCTGTTTTGTACATTAAGCCCCTGTTTATTTATACTTTTAATCTCTCAATTATGCTACTTTTGTCAATTTCTCTAACTTTTCGTTTTTTCTGTAACATAGAAGAGACATGGGCGGATGTTGTTTCTCTAGATTTATTCCTTTAATGGGGAATAACATGTAAGATAAATTATTAAAATCAAATAATATGGAAGAAATGCAATTTTATATATTCTTCTTTCCTTTTTCTATGTGCTATTTAAGGAATAAAATCATCATGTTTGATATGCAAATATATAAGACTAAGGTGGAATTAAGTGATTCATTTAATTGTACATTTCATTTAATATCACATTAGTGACATTTAGATTGTACTCAATTTATAAATGTCATTTAGCTTTGAGCATCGTAGTACTTTCTAGTATTTCATGCCAAACGATATTACAAATTTTCAAGTTAATATTTAATCCTTTCTACATTTCAGGTATTTCTCTTTGAATGTTTGTTGCATTTTTTGGGCATATCCCTAGTGGGCTATTCTCATATCATGATTCCACGTTTCTCCTAACTTTTTTCAATAATTTTCACGTATCCTGTTTATTACTGAGAAATCAATAATCGTTAATAATTAGTATTTAAAAAAAATGGAAATTTTGTGTACTGATAAATGGCATCTTTCCAAATTTAATGGTACAAGACGTACAAGCGGAAAAAAATACACCTGCACTGAGAAGCAATTTTAAGTTTTTAGTTTGGCATGGTTTTTGAAAAGCTAAAAGCGGTTTCGAGATTCAAAAGTTATTTTTGACTAATTTATAGAAGCGTTTTATTTTTTAGTTAGAAGAGCTTCTAAAACACATGGTTTAATTCAACTTTTTCGAACAAAAATTCTTTTAAAATTTACTTTCAAATAAAAATGAAGGTAACTTTCTTCTAAAAACTCCTCTATAGAAAGTAAAAATAAAAATTAATAATCAATTGATCAAAGGCTTGCTTTTTGACAGACAAGGACCTGGGAAAACGTTCTCTTCTTCACCAAAAGCGCTATTGCAGTTTGCTGCGACTTGTTTCCCAGCGTGGGCAGATTCTAACTGTATTGACTGCATAAATATTCCAGAACATGGCACTGACTGACTGCAATTTAAATTAATGGCTATCTTTGTGCTCGATGTTCCATACATATTCTTGTAAGTTACATCACTTATTCGAACTCCAGTTTCCTTCACACAATAAGGAAAAATAATTAAAAAGTAAATTGAAATTCAATGAAAATTAAAGTTAAAGATTTACCCGTTGTTTGCATGATCCTCGGGGAACACAGTAATTCTGGTCGATGATTATAGGATTCTTCACGGACATGAATATAAGATTCTCAAAGGTCACATTTCGAACGTATCCTTTTCCAATCTGCCAAGTTAGTTCCATGTACCACAGGTAGCAAAGTTATATGTCGATTTTTCCTAGTACCAAATCCTAACTCAAATTTATATGTGTCTACTACCTGCCAAGTTTTGATTCGTGCTCCATTTGTAGTTCCTTCGAATTGGGCGTTACTTATGTGAATCTTCTCCACCTTGACATAAGTCCCTCCTCTTCCTAGGCTTCCAATACTATTTTTATCGTACATGCAAAAAGATATATGTATCAAATTGTGAGTCGATATATAAGATGTTGATAAAGATTATATGTATTAGAAGTGCATCCATGAATCTAAAAAGAGTAAAGATATTCAATAAACTAGTGTCAAGCAGCAACATGACATTAAGTGATAGATTCACTTAAATTTAATGTAATATGATTCATTTAATTGAATTTATTAAGTGCGATCATCTAGACTGATACTCTAACATCACTCTGGTGATAAATATGCTTAGTTTCACTAATCAAGTCAAATCGTTGCGGTCTAAAAAGAAATATTTGAATATTAATCTCTAACCTCCGAGCTAAGTGGGCCCACATAATAAAGATTTTAGTCTAAATTTTCTTTTTCACTTCTTGCAAAGTTGTCTTTTGTGTTGCTAAATTAAGTTGTTATAAACTACTATATATATGTCAATGGGTGAGCTATATATTTCCAAAATCAAATTTTTTCTGTATGCATCTATCCGGTGGATTTTTAAAATCTCACGAGTTGACTTAGATTACAGGTGTGGAAAGGACAAAGATAAAGAGAGGAAAAAGAAGCAAAGAGTAAAATAAATGGAAAGAAGTAATTAATTACGTACCTAATACCATGACCAGGTCCACACATAATATTACTTATTTCAACGTTTGAAACGTAATCACCAATAGAAATGCAATCATCACCTAAATCACAAGTCCAAAACGACAAATGTTAGACAGGCACGTGCGCGTGCGCACATACACAGAGAGAACGATAAATACCGCTTCCAATTTTTGAATTGGTGATTTGTAAATTGTGAGACGAGTGAATATGGATTCCATCAGTATTAGGGCTATTTCTCGGAGACTCTATTACGACGTTGTTAACCTCGAACTCATTGCATCCCTTAATGAGTACATGCGTCTGAGGGCTGTTAATGAAGTTCGTGTTACTCAAACTGCTCCCATTGCACGAAAGAAACTTTAAAGCCTATAATAATCAAAAATTAAAGTTTCTATAAGAATTCTCCATTTTTTCTCTACTCAAAGTGGACTAATTAATCAAACACAAATCCAGACTTATCTTTGTGGTAACTTTCATTAATTATAACTTAAAATGGCAGTTACCTACGTTCCAAATTTGCTAGGTATATATTTAAAGACAAATTCATTACATTGGCATCAAGTAATTAAGACATACTTATTTGTATATGTTACATGCATGATACATTTTCACATGTATGTAGGTCTGTTTGACAGGATTTCTACTTTTGCTTCTACTTCTTTCAGAAGAGCTTTCTAAAGGAGTTGACTTAGATCAATGACCTCTAAGAACTTTTTAGCCAGATAAAGGATTTTCGAAAGATTATTCAAACGCGTTCAGAAGCAACTTTTGAATTTTCTACCAAACAGGCTCGAAGGCTCTATAAACTTTTTATATAAGTTCGTACATTTTTAAACAATTCTTATATACAGTCAAGGCTCGGTATTATGCTTGCTTTAAAGATGGCTTAATTTTTCTTACTTCTTTTAATTGCTTCGGAAACTTTGAGAATTCTAACGAAAATGCTAACAAAATAATTTCCCCCACCCCCCCCCCCCCCCCCCCACTGCTAACAAAATAATTTTTTTCCCCCTAATTTAAGACTCTTCTGACTTACGTTATTCATACATTTCTTATTGTTTAATTTTCATTAATAACCTTAATATTGAATCATATTTAATTAAAATTAAAGCTTACTTATAACATTCCATTCAGTTTTTATTTCCAGCATAAATTTTACGTTGAATAAATAAAACAACAATACAGGAGAGTAGTACTTACTGTTGGAGCCAATGTTGTGCACTGTTCCTGAAAACAAACAAACAAAAAGTAAGTCAAGGACGAGTGACTCGACCTAACCTCCAGCTAAAGGTGCAAAAAATAAAATAAAATAAAATAAAATATATCGTAATCTGGTTATACATATATACCAGTTGTGAATGATATCTACAAGACTGATCCCACCATCCCTTGCCTTGTCCATCAATTGTGCCAAATCCATCAACATTTAGACCATTCACATTGTCGAATGCTAGCCATTGACTTGAGTCGAGCCCATCCCACGCGATAGGCCAGTTTGGGGCGATAATCGTGCCCAAAATCTGCGAGAAAAACTAGAAACATAAGATGCGCGCCACTTGATATAGCGGAAAATTATGTATATTTTCTTTTCCTTACTGTAAAAGTGATTTTCGTCGCCTTGCATGGACCGCGAAACTTGATTGGATTTACGAAAAAGGTTTTTTGAGGGATTATCACCCTTGGATGCTCAACTGCTGAACTACATGCAGCATTCCATGCCTTCAAAAATGCCTGAGAATACAAAAGAATAATAAAATGAATTAAGGATATAAGCAATATCTGATTGAATCGGTCAGTCTGGTCTGATTTTCAAAATGTTGATTACTTGAGAATCGTCTGTAACACCTTCACTTCTAGTGCCATAATCGATGACA